ATAGAGTAATTGTGAATGTTTACAATAATTTGGATGAATTGACATCCCTTCATTTTCATGGTATTTTTCAAAAAGGAACTCCTTGGTATGATGGTTCTGTAGGAAGTTCTCAATGTGGAATTCCACCAAAAGGCACTTTCACTTATAATTTTACAACGGATCAAGTGGGAACTTATTGGTAGTAAGTATTTATTTATTTATTTTATTTTTTATTTTTATTTTTTATTTTTTTTAATAATATGCGTTAAGATATACAAAAATTGCAACAAAGTAAATAAACTGTATTAATTTTATTTGATTATAATTTTTTAACAGTCATTCGCATTATCCGGGACAATATATTGATGGAATTTATGGAGCATTTATCATTCACGATCCTGAAGACCCATACTTAGATGAATATGACGAAGAATATATTGTAATTTTAAGCGATTGGTTTTATTTGGAAAGGATATTTCTAGAAAGATTATATTTTGAAGCCCATTACGTTGAGGTATTGTGCTAATTAGATGAATTTTACCCATTATTTTTATTGTAATTTTTTTTTTTATTTGTTACTTTGCAAATTACAGCCAAATCCAAATAATGGTTTGATAAATGGAAAAAATAAAATTGATTGTAAAATGCTTTCCCCAGATATATCATGCAATGGTGGTGAATATTCGAAATTTACTTTTATGCCCAGAAAAAGATATCGTCTTCGTATTATTAATACCAGGTAGCGCTTCATATTTAATACGAAGTTGTATATATAATAATATTAATCGGTTAACAATTTTTTTTTTTAAATAATAATTAAAAAAAGTACACAGGCGGCATTTTTCTTTTCTATTGACAATCATATTCTTGATGTAATCGAAATTGAAGGAGGTTACATAGAAAAGTATACACTTACGACCGTTCCTGTGAACACAGGTCAAAGATATTCGGTAATAGTGAAAGCCGATCAAGAAATTTCAAATCATTGGATGAGATCAGCTTTCGATTATACTGTTTACCTTATAAAACCACAAACCGCAAAACTATATAATAATGCTATAGTTCATTATGAAGGGGCTGAAGAGAAGGAACCAACTACTCAATATTGGAGTGATTCCGTCATGAGTGAATGGAAAGATTTAGAAAAATTAGTTAATCTTAAACCTTATTATTACGAACCATTACCACCTAATGATTTAACTATATTGTTAATAGCTCATTTTGATTTTACTGAAGGTTACATTAATGGAAGTAAATATGTACCGGATTACAAAATTTCAACGCTGAATAAGATTTATCAAGGGGTTCAAGAATTTGACGCAGACCAAAACGTTTTGACATTTACACAACCTGGTCAAGTTATTGATGTCATTGTATACAGTAAGCACTTCAAAAAAAAAAAATTTATTGTTTTTTTATAATTCATAATTGTTGTATCATTAATTATTTGTTTACCTTGCTAGATGTGAACAATAAGGAACATCCCTTTCACATGGTAGTAATTTACGGATTTCAGTACTCGTAACATTTTTATCGTATACTTAATATTGATAAAATTATTAATTTATTTTATTATAGCATGGTCATAAATTTTGGGTATTAGGTACTTTCAAATATAATTTTACGGACACAGTTCCTGATCCAGCAACCTTGCCTTTAAAAAATAAAGCCATGAATTTGGTCAATCCAATTAAGCGAGATACTACAACTCTCATATCTGGGTATGTTTTGCATTTGCTTTACCAAGCTCTCCATTGCTTTATTATGCTTTACATACTGATTTTTTTTACATATTTAATTAATTGCATGATTATGTATATTTTTAGATGGATAGTAATTCGATTTGTTATAGATAATCCTGGAGTTTGGAGCTTTCATTGTCACACTGAGGTAAAAAATTCTCGTTTTCCATTCGGCATGATGGCAACTTTATTTTTCTAACATTTAATATATATTTTTGTAAAAAAAAAAAATCAGTGGCACGTATTATCAGGAATGACTGTTCAAATTTTAGAACTGCCTAACGACATTACGAAATTGAACCCCCCTCAGGATTGGATAGATTTATGTAATAATTCGGTGAATTAAATACTGTATAAATAGAAAAAAATTTGATGTGAAATATATCATTATTAGAGTTGTTAGTGAAACTGGTTATTCTATAGACAGCAGATTTTGGAAATTCAAATATGTCACCTGAATTTATTAGTGATATCTAACAATTAGTTAACCAATAAAATTAAATAAAAAAGTCACGAGGATATGAGATCAATTAAAAGTTTTAAATATGTTGTAAGTGGAATTTATATGTAAACCCATACCTTAACCCTAATTTAACTAGGAAATTCCAAATCCACTTAAATTCCGTTCCCGCTTACAACAAATACTCGAGTAATATTATTACAGTAAAGGCAAATAATATCGCTCATATTTATTAATTATTTAATCCATATTATTATACAAATTTTATATAGTACAGGATATTGAAATCATTGGCAAATGTGTCTAAATAAATTATAAATCTCGCCATAGAGCGTAGAGGTACCGTAGCCAAAGTTAAATCCAAAATCGTGGATTGAACAAATGGTGCACAAGCGCACGCACGTACATACGTACGTATATATACTATATACTTTGATACAAACATTTTATGGCTTAGATAAGAAGGACCTTAGAGTTTATAAAATGCGTAAACATTTGTAAATATAACAATAGTATTTGATCTGAACACTGGAATATGTACATACATACGTACGTACATATATCAAAGGTGACAAACTACGTATGTGGCTGGCAATACCTGATACATATATCAGATATATACATACCTGATACGTACGTATAGCATACGTAGCATGTAAATAATAAGCATATAATGTTAAAATCTAACCAATCAAAATAACTACAAATAGAATTGCGAGATGAAAACTTCTCGTTATATAAAGATGGGCTTATTATTATAATTTAAATATTGATTTTATCGAAAAATATCATATTATTCACCTGAAATGTTAAGACAGTTTATGATTATATTTTATCACGCGGTCAAAAAAATATATTTTTGGATTGAAGAAGATAGAGGCAAATTAACAAGAAATAATCATATTTCTTTTGAACTAGAATCTTTTATTTTTTTAGAAAACCTTAAATCTGAAGAAAATGAAAGGCTAAAAAACAAATTTAGTATAAAATATTTTGAATATAAACCCAATATTTTTGCTATGATGTTATTTATCGATTTTTATTAATTTATTTTAATAAATAATAAAATTCAAAGATATATTTATAAAACTATTAGGAGTTTTAAAGTAATTAATGTCACGGATGATCGTGAACTCAAACCCTATTTAATATACGATTTTTAAAAAATTTTTAGATTATATTTTTTAAACCTTTTTTTTTTAGATTTGGACTAGGATTTAGGGGTAGAGTTTATAATAAAAGAGTATAGGTAGATTTTAATAAGGTTTATATTTTTAAATTAAGGCCCCAGATTTCACGATCATCCGATTTCACCATCAACCGCGACAATTAATAATATAATTGTAAGTTTTAATATAATTAATTAGCCCTTTATAAAAAGGGTGGCGTGAAGCACTGCACTAGTACATATTAAAGCCATGGTTAATAAAGTAATATTTAAAGATTAACAAATAATGATATATAAAACATCTCAAAACTCATTTAAAATATCCAATTTCGGTTCTATAGCTTTTATTTATTTTGTCGTACCTGAAGTTGTCGCTTTAACTAAAATTTAGACACATTAGCAATTTTAGGCAGATGTAACATAAGATGTCTTAAATTGCAATTTCGTTCAAATAAATCTATTTGTACAAAATTTGGAAATATCTAAAGTGTGTTGCAAAAAAAAGAGTAGAGATACAAAGATAAACATAATCTACGTATAATTAATCCATAATTGGCATGTAAATGTGATTTATAAAGTTCATAAAATTCATTGTATTTAAGATTAAAATTTTAAATTCTATTCTTAGAAAGACATTAGATAATTTTTAATTTTGGCTGTAATTATACGTATTCAATATTTCCATTTTTCTTTATTTTCTTTATCTCCATTTATGTATCAATTAATTCAAATAATGTTTCTTATTTACAATTTATATAGTGATTTATGGCGTCTTTATAACTATCTTTTATGACTATTTCTTTCATATTTTTTAATCAGATAATTAAATGAGTAAACCAAATGGATATTACATGTTTTAACCCGGAGTTGTGTATAAAAGACTAATGTGTATTATATAATCTAAAAAGTACTAATTAGTTCCTGTTTTGTAATAATATATAATCCTTGAAAAGCCGTGTTGCCTTCTGTAACACTTGTTGCATTTCAAAGTAAATTTGTACTTAATACCTTGTTTAGGAACATTTACTTTTGCTTTTTCTTTCGTCTTAAATTTTCAAAATATACATATTTAAAGGTATGGTTTACTTAACATCTTCATTATCTAAGTTGATGTTTTATTTCATATCATTTTTCTATTTCTTAGTCTGTTATGTCACAGTTTAAAAGAAAAGCTTTGATTGATTTGATATTGCTTATTTATATTATTTTGAGTATTAATGCTCAAAATCAGACTTGCCAGCTTATGATGTGTACTAGATCAGACAATCTTGAGGCTGTTGCTATAATCAATAGTGAAAGTGATGTAGCAGGTGCAGAGGCATTTATGGCTAGTAGTTGTCCAGGAGTAACCAACATTACCAAATGTGATATTAAGTGCAATGGGCCGTATGATTCGAAAAATTCCAGTACATACTGTATTATGTTTGGAAAAAGTGTGCTCAAACTTGCTGCTATACCTATACACTTACAACATGTGATCAAAGTGTACTGAAAATTTGTACAGAAGGAAAAGATCCAGACTATCCATTTAACTAGTGGTATCTTCCTTAATTATATCTAAATTGTTTTGTCTACTTTAAACATCTCGAAGATTACATAAATGATCAATAATCCTTATTTATTTATTTTCTACATATTTGCTTGCATTTTCGTTCTAAATTACAGTTTAATATTATTTCATAACTAGTTTCTTGAAAGAAAATGTAAATTTATGTATAAATAAAATCTGGCTGATATATTTAACTAGAGATAGCAAAATATGCCTTTTTTTTTTTTAATTTCCTGACGTAGTCGTCAGAGGATGTAATGTGACATTCTATTTTATCATTTTTACTACTAAATTAGGAAATCACATTCTAGAATGATCTCTGTGTCATTTCGTGAATTTGATTGGTTGTGTAACATTTTTTATCAATTTTATTTATTTATTCGAAACGATATACGAATATCTAATATAAGATATCTACTTTAAATGATCCCATTTAATTCCTCGAAATAAATCATCATAAAAAGGTAAATGAAAGCTAACTTCTTTTAATTACTAAGTAGCTGTGCAACACAGTTACGCAAAACCAGAAACGGGATATGTTGTAAATGTAGTTTTAATATGAGCTTTAAATTGGGTTGCATAACAATATCATTTAATAAAAATAACAGAGGATTCAAAATCAAATTCATCTAAATGTTAACCCGTTAAAAGAAGACAAGTAATAGATGACTAAATCTAGTAGTATCGATAGTCTTATCAGGTATTCTATAATTCTAAATTAATATTTTCTAAAAAGTCTAATATCAATTTTTAATATTATGAATTAATCGTAACATACATACGAGTAATACTTTCCAATACACAATAAATCCTATATTCTTATATAGCATACAAATATAGAAATTTCAAGTTGGAAACAAATAATCAATCAGATGTTGAAAATTGTATTCACTACTTCACTCATTCAATATAATAATTTTAATTTTGAACAAAAATATTTTAGCAACCACCTGATCAAATTCAATGAAATTTTTTTTATTTAAATTATTTTGGATCTATAGATTCAAATGAAAAAAAATATATTGAATTTGATTAGGTTGTTGCTAAGATACCTTTGCTAAACTTTTTAAAAAAATCAAAATGTCTATGCTATGCTAAATTTTTCTAAATTTTAAATAAAGGTATTTTAGTAACTATCAATTAAATTTGATAAATTTTTTTTTTTTTAATTTAGATTCTATAAACCATAAAATCTAAATAAAAAAAAATTCATCAAATTTGATCAGATAGTTGCTAAGATTTCTTTGCTCAAATGTTTAAAAAAATCAAACTATCTATCAAAATATATACTGTGCCAAACTTTGCCATTCAATCAAATTCAATAAATATTTTTATTTGAATTCTATAGATCTATAGAATTTAAATAAAAAATTTTCAATGAAATTAATCTAGTGGTTGCTAAGATGCCTTTGCTCAAAGGTTTAAAAAATCAAAACATACACTTTGAGCAAAGATATCTTAGCAACCACCTGATCAAATTTGATGGATATATAAAATTTGAATAAAAAAATTTTATTGCATTTGATTAGGTGATTGCTAAGATACCCTTGCTTAAAGGTTTAAAAAAATTAAACTGTTTATCAAAATACAAACTGTATCAAATTTTTCAAAACTTTAACAAAGATATTTTAGCAACTATTAGATCAATTTAGTGAAAATTTTTTATTTAAATTCTATAAATTCTTAAAATTCAAACTAAAAAAAATATTAAGTTTAATAAGGTGGCTGCTAAGATATCTTTGCTTGAAGTTAAAAAAAAAATATATAGTCTAACTCTCTATAATACACACTTGGGATACAAAACAGTGTAATTGTAAAGAAGTATAACAATTATAAAGGTTAAATTTATTATATTTAATAATAGATAGTTTATAAAAAAATGAGCCTATAAAGAAAATATACATATGTAGGAAAAGGTGCAGATATTGTTATTCTATTAATTTATAATATTTTAAATTATATAGTTAGAAGAAAAAAAATTAGGAATTTATGAAGATAATCATTCTTAACAAAATAAGAATAATGCAATGATTGCATATTTAGCTTGAAAAGTTTAACAAGATTATATTTATTGCTTCATGGTTGCAAAATATACTAAATTTAGTCTAAATAGATTTTTGGATTGATAAAATTATTTTTAAGAAAATTTGAAATAAATAATTTTAATAATCTAATTAATATTGTTTAAAATTCTACTCCTGGTATATTATATTGTATAAACAGTTTTTAATAATGAAGAAAATCAAGTTGTATATTTTTATAAGTGAACAAATTGGTTAAAACAAAAATTTATAACAGTTCCAGATATATTGAAATAATATTATTTTGAATTTAATAATTTAGATAAAGAAAAAGTTAAGATTAGAATATTTTCTAACAGAGAAAAAACAACTATACAAATTAAAAAAATTAGACAAAAAGATAATTTAAATCAATTAGTTAAAAAAAAATTGCCTGGTCTTAATGCAAAACAACAATAGTATTTATATGAACAAATAAGATCTTATATACAAAATCCTAACAAAAAAAATGATTTATATCCAATGTTTACTATTATTAAACTAGTAAAATTTAAATAAAACTAAATATTAATTTATTAAATAAAGTTAAATTGTAGAATTATATACCAATATAATTAATAAGTTATTTGGTTATTTTTAATTGTAAATTATATAATAATATTAAAAAAACTAATTTTACTATAATAAAATATTATAATAATACAATATTATAGTATTACAACATTATAATATATAATTATAATAAACAATACAAACCTGAATACAGATTATATTTTGTACTTTGTTATATTTTTTTAAAAATTAAAAAAAATTAAAAAATTTAAAAAATTTAAAAAATTTTAAAGCTAACAAAATAAATATCAAAAAACTAAAAAAAACAATTCACTAGAAAATCTACAAAAAAATTCTTTAAAAAAAAGCTAAATACTAGAGAAAAGTTATAAAAAAATTCTTTAAAAAAAAAAAACTGCCAAAATATACAAGAAATTTACTAAAAAAATGCCAAGAACTAGTAGAAAATCTATGAAAATTCCTCTAAAACATCAAAATATTAAAAAAAAATTACAAGAGAATACTCTTTAAAAAAATAAAATAATAATCTTCTATTAAAATACAAAAGAAAATCTATATGAAATTCACCAAAAAACTGCCAAATATTTAAAAAAAATCTACAAAATAATTTTTCTAAAATGCTGAAATATCAAAGAGAAATTACAAAAAATTTTTCAAAAAAAAATGCTAAAATATTAATAAGAAAATTCACCGAAAAAATACCAAAGAACTAGAAGGAAATCTACAAAAGAATTTTTCAAAAAAAAATACCAAAATACCAGAAAATAATCTACAAGAAATTCACAAGAAAAATGCCAAAAAACAAGTAAAATATTTACAATAAATTTAGCAGAAAAATACTGAAGGCCAGAAAGAAATCTACAAGAGAATTCTTCTTCAAAAAAAAAATGCTAAAATACTAGAGAGATTTACAAGAAATTCACTAAAAGACTACTAAAAAACAAAAGAGAAATCTACAAGAGAATTCTTCAAAAAAAAAAAAAATACTAAAATACCAGAAAGATATCTACATGAAATTTACCAGAAGATTGCTAAAGAACCAAAGGAAAATCTACTAAAAAATTCTCTAAAAAAAAAAAAAATACTAAAATATTAGTAAGATATCTACAAGAAATTTACTGAAGATTACCAAAAGACTAGAAAAAAATCTACAAGAGAATTCTCTAAAAAAAAAAAAAATGGTGAAATATTAGAAAGTATCTACAAGAAATTTACTAAAAGATTGCCAAAGAATCAGAGAAAAATCCACAAAAGAATTCTCTAAAAAAAATATACTAAGAGACTATAAAGAAATCTACAAAGAATTTTTTTAAAAAAACAACACAAGAAAATCAATATGAAAATAGTTGGTGAACTTTCTTGTGAATATTCTTCTGGTTTTATTAAAAAAATACTGAAAGACTAAAGAAAATCTACAAAAAAGTTAATGAACTAAACACTAAAAATACAAGAGAAGGTCCACAAAAAGTTAAAAAAAAAAACTCTCAACCCTCATCAAAAGACAAAAGGAAAGTCTGCAAAAAGTTTTTTTTTAAAAAAAAAAATACTGAAATATTAGTAAGATATCCACTAGAAATTTATTAAAATACTGCCAAATAACTAGAGGAAAATTCACAAAAGAATTCTTCAAAAAAAAAATAATAAAATATCAGAGAAATATCTAATAAGAAATTTACCAAAAGATTACTAAAGAACTAGAAAGAAATCTACAAAAAAATTCTCAAAAAAAAACAATAAGTGACTATAGAAAAATCTACAAAAGAATTTTCTAAAAAAAAAACAATACAAAAGAATCTACAAGAAAATGGTTAGTAAACTTTCTTATAAATATTCTCTAATTTCACCAAAAAATGCTAAAAAACCAGAGGAAAATCTACAAAAAAGTTTACTAACTAAATGCTAAAAATACAAGAGAAGGTTTACAAAAAGTTCAAAAAAATCTCTCACCAAAAGATGAGAGAAAAGTTCTTAAAAAGGTTCTCTAAAAATGTTAAAAAAAATAAAGAAAGTCAACGAAAACATTTTTTAAAAAGGAACTACTATTTGCACCATGGATTTTTGTTATTTGCACCATGGTTTTGTAAATCCTTTCGATTTTATTACATTATTATTTACAAAATTTTTAAACTTTGATTGAAGATATCTTAGCAACTAATTGATCAAATTTAATCAATTTTTTTAATTCAAATTTTATGGATTTGTAAAATTCAAATAAAAAAATTTTCATCAAATTTGATTAATTAGTTTCTGAGATATCTTTGATTAAAGTTTGAGTAAAATT